ATATAAATAGGTAAATAACTTAATTCATAATATTATTATAATAATTTTTATTAAATATATGTAACTTAAATATTCATAATAAAATCCACTTTCTTAATGTCTAGTTTTACGTACACTAACCCACACAAGGTCTATATTGACTATCAACTGCATGTAGTTAAAACCTGTTTTAAACTATATGTAAACATTGATCTTTATCAATGGGAACGTAATAGTGTTTAGTTAAGATTAAACAATTAAAAAGGGGCTTACGTGTAATAACTTGTTGGAAGATTGTTGGCTTTCATTGTGTTCAAACAGCCTTTCATTTCAGAAAATTTTCGTTAGTTAGAATTAAGGAAAAACTAGTGTAGGTGTTGATTTTTGTTGTTATTACGTTTAGATTATTTATGAACGCTTCGTGTGATTAACATGATGGTGATATCAACAAAGCTGTCTAGATCGTGTGATTAACATGATGATGATATCCACAAAGCTGTCTATAAGGATATTTCATAGTTCGAGTAGCGGTCAATTATACGAGAACTCAAAAACACAAAGATGCAATAAAGCTTAAGGATCTAACACATGCCATGGGCAAAATCCTTTTGTTCTTACTGTGTAATAATTTGGATAATGCACAGTTACGATGTACATTAACTACCTCAGATATATTGCTCAGTTCAAATGTACTCTTACCTTTAGGGGCGGATCCAGTATTTTTTCAAAGGGGGCGTAATTCTATTAAAAAAAAATTGACGATTATATGCTCCTAAAAAAATGCATATTTTCCAATCAAGGTTGTGTCAAAACTAGTTAAGGCTAAATATATTTGTTGGGTAGGAAAACTTAGTGTTTCGAATGCTTTTAATACCAAGTTAACAGTAAATATAGCGAAATTGTAAAACGCTGTCTTGGATAAGAGATCATAAACATTAAACAGGTGAGGTCATTAATACCATTACATGTCGATCGTATTACAAATGAAATAAACGTATTAATTGGTCCCAATTTCGACGTCAATTTAAGGACTTTTGCACTAAGGAGAAAGAAAAGAAAAGAAACAGTTTTAATCACCATAGTATTTTTGGATTGGTATTCTTCTATTTAATCCATAAGCAATTGTTTAACAATAAATCGGTGCTATCGTGTTCTTGTCAATATTTTTGCCAACGAAAGGTACATTTTAATAAACAAAACGCGCAACTAATTTACATATACAAATCGACGGTACAGTAAACAAACTACAACTACATTTAATGAAATGGGCATACGTGATATATTCTGGAGGAAAATACGCTTGCAATACGTTTCCTAGTTGGTTTTTTTTATTTGTATACATTAGTAAAGCATTTTAATGACAGTTTTGTGCTCATTATTTTGTTTTTAAAACGGTAATTACAGCTACATGATGACTTAAATGACTTAAGGGCACACGATATAGTTTTGATCTCACGGTGAATTTTTGAAGAAAGTTTGCTGCAAGCTATTTTTCACCTAGTCAATTCAAATATGTAATAAAATAAACTATACCTTTATGTGCTACTTTTAGTGATAAATGGGGTCGAAATTTTAGACATTTACTGGAAATTTCGATTTCTTGGACTTTTCTATCCTTTGGAAAGACATACTTAACTTTTTGTTTCAAAAGATAAAAGCAAGCGGATTTTTTTGAAAGCATCTGGAATATCTTCTCTATATAAGTGTGCTTTGAATTTGTGTAACAATTCTTTGGAAATTATTCATTTTTATCACATTTTCATGATTTAAGTCAAAGAACGGTATTTTTGCTGTATATTTATCTAATTTAAAATACTTAATTTCATCGGTGATTTGTTCATAAAAGTTGGGACAAATAATCTTCATACATTATACAGCCAAATTTCATTTTAAAAAAAGGGTCCATGAACTCGTTTTCAAGTTAAATCAGTCTGAATGATAAAAATCAGTCAATAATACTTCTTTTCCCGATATGTCACAGTTTGACGTCGTGAAAAATAACATTTTACGTTAGCAACATCATTACCTCCCCTGTAACTATCGTATGCCCTTAACATACATACAAGGTGTTCGATACATTTTTGTTTATAAAATATGTACATACATAAGCCTAAGACTAGTATAATAGTCCCAGCATAAGCTACATATTTTAGAACACACTTCCGGAGTGAATTGTTTGGCGGTTACACACCGTGCAACTTGCAGAATCTTCAAATTTTCAAGGCAAGTTATATTCTTTTAAAAAAATGCAGTTTTAGTTTCAAATTACCTATTCCATGAATAATAGGACCAGAAAATATCAGAAAAATTAGAAAATTGGCAAATTTACGCAAATTCGTGACTATTTGACTTGCACATGCTTATGAATTAAATATATTTGCGCAGTTAGAGTATTTTTTGCTTATCTATTCATTGCAAAAAATGTTTTTGGCGAAGCTTGTGCTCTATGTTTATTTTGCAAAAATGTATCTGTACTTTGTTTATTTTTTTTCAAAAAATCTGAATAATCTTCCTTATAATGTCACTTTTATGATGTAGACAAACTATGTCTTAAAAGCTTGGCAAATAAACACATTTTCTGAGAGATATCTTTTTTTAATGTTTAATGAGTATCATACATTTTCAATGTGAAAACTTTGCAAAAACAGGTCTAAAATGAGTTTGTCAGTAAAAAAAAGTTCTCGTTTAATACAGTTACAAGTGAGGATATGACGTTGCTAACGTTAATTTTTTTTCGAGATGGCAAAATGTAACATATCGGAAAAAGATGTATTTTCCCACTATTTTAATCATTTGATTTATCTTAAAAACGAGTTCATGGATCCCTGCTTTTTGAAATGACATTTGGCTTAATTATGTAGGGAGATTATTTGTGCCAACATTTAAGTAGAAATCAACGATGGTTTGTTTTTTAAATGACAAAATAAACAGCAAAACATGCCGTTTTTTCTAAAAATCATGAAAATTTAATAAATATGAATCATTTCCAATGAATTGTGAAATTTAATGTATACTTATATAAAAAATATTCCAAATGGGTTTACAATGAAAAAAAAACGCTTGTGTTGGTCTTTTGAAATACAAAAGTTTGGTATATCATGGAAGTATTATATTGACAGGAACTCCAACGAAAAATTAGCACATTCCCATCCCACTGATTTCTTTAAGAAAATAAAAGGTTCCGACTCAGTTTGTCAAGTACGTGATAACTCCTTTGTGGGGTATCTGTGATGCCGCCTTCGCCTGTTCTTTTAACTGAAGCTGGTCTTATCACGTGATTTGGTATCGATTGTCTTATCTACCTACCTATGTAAATAAACACGGAAACTCCCGTGGTTATTTGTGAATCGCCACATGAATAACAACACGTGTTTCCGTTCAATAAATGAAGAACAAAGCTGAAAAGATCGAAAAAATCGGTCCATATTTAACAGAATGACATAAGAAAATTAACTGCATTCGGAAAGAGGGCAAGCTTATTTTTAGTTTTGTTGAGTATGTTTTAATCGTTGGAACTTGGAAATCGGGAAATATCCGATTAGGAAAATTACATGATTCTGAAGTAGAGTGTTTGCAAAAAATAATGTGATGCGCGTGTAGTCTGCCGGATGGTGCCGGATAACTCAAATTTTAAGTTAAAGATTGTAAACTTTTATCGAGTGTAACACAAATATTTATGGTTTTCTCTATCGTAAAATATCGTAAAATGTTATTAACTTATTTATCAAATATGTTTTAAAGACTAAAAGAGGTTAATAATTACACGCATGTGATGACCTCTACATAGCAATATCAGGTTACGAGACATGCAGATGAATTGTTACACCTTTTATAATAATTCCAAAGTTGTAAACAACCTTAAACATTCAACCTAGTCCCAGATTACTCTGACGTCTGACAGATTTATTTTTAGTAAAATTTAGAAGTAAATTATGGATGGCTTTAAATATTTCTAGATGCATTTAAAGAATGATCACCATGATGGGCCCTAAGCAGTTTATTTTTTTTTTATCATGGAAACCAAATTAGAATTTATTTATGTGTTTAAAAGCTTAACAGTTCTGAAACAACATTGGATTTTCAGTAAACAATAAATCAAAATATTTGATATTTTTTCGGATCAAAGCTCTTTAACCCCGTTTACTTTACATGAGAATTTTATGATTTTCAAGCCTAACATGTATATAACAGTTACGCGTGTTTAGCCAACGGCCCTCTCATGAATAAAAATCTTACTACTTTAAAATTGATTGTAACTTAAACTGAAATGTTTATGGCTTGTGAGTTTTTTTACTCTTCAGTTTTTTTTTTGTTTGTTTTTTTAATCGGTGAAAACAGTCGCGGGGATTTCGTTTCTTTTCTTTTTATTTGTTTTTAAGCAACAAAAGCCGTAAAAACTGACATTATATTTGTCATTCACATGGTCGGTAAATGTCATTTCCTTGACAATTAAGTACACATCCGGTTATTTCGGTATGTTCCGTAATTACGATCATTCACGATGTTCCAAAAATTTGATCGGCACCCAGACATCCTTAAGACATTTCGAGTTAATTAACAGATACTTAACGATTTTGCGGCATCGCACTATAAACGTTTGAAGTCCGCTTGTTGGAGTTCCTGTCAATATAATACTTCCATGGGTATATCTACCCAAAGGATACAAATGTCTAATTCATATTAAAAAAACCCAGAAATTATCAGTATTTATCCAAAATATTTACCACATTTATCTCTAAAAGTAGCATATGAAGGTATGTTTCCTTTATTACATATTTGAAAAATCAAGTAAAAAAATCTTGAATAATTTTTTTTTGTATCGTATATCCTCAACAATTCGTTATTAACAAGTTCCAGTACTATTTTGTTATTCAACCCCAATTTTTAGACGAATATGATTTTTTTGTCAATTAGAACCCTTGTTTTAATTTGTGGAAACAAATTTTGTTAGACGTTAGAATTTAGCTGAAGAACACTTGAACAAAGAAGGCAAATAAATATTATATAGTAAATATACTTACATTTCGATCTTTTATGTATGTTCGAGATCTGTCAATCGTTTCCTTTTCTGAAATGAGAAACTGTAATACTCAAATTCAAATTCATACGCTACAGTAACACAAGATTGATATGATTTATAGTTATTGCTAAGTCATACCTTCAGATAGTTTAACGGATTTTATTGTGTCAGCCACATGCTCGTTTTTCGTCTCCACTAATGCTGACAAAAAAGCATCTCCCTTTTTTTTTCTTGTAACGACATCCAGTATACTTTGGATCTGATCTCTTTCTAAAGGTTTAGATACAATAGAATCGCGCTCTTTCAATGGTATAACGCCAAATTCAATCAACTTGTCAACAACAGAATCAACGTGAGTTAGGTTATCCTTGATAAAAGGAAGACTCTTTTCGATCCTTTTGTTCGTTTCAGCCATATTTTAATTTGCTTCAGATATCATATAATGTTGTTTTTTTCTTCATTTAAAAAAATCCCTATTGTTAGATTTTTAATTTATTTAACACACAAACTTTGTTTCGGTACTACAAAACAGAAGTATAGTGCTCCTTGTGAATTCCAAAAAATACTAGTTTACTTTTTAAATAGTATATTACATATGTTTTAATTTTAACAGCCAGAGATATGCATTTTGTATTGACTAAAACTTTTCAAATTACATCATTATCAATAAGACTGACATGTCTTACGAGACGTCCATGCATTAAACCAATTAAATATGAAATTTTCTGTTTGTGTTTCGACATCAATATAATTAAATGGATTATGAATTGATAAATTTGCTTTTGAGTTGGTATATTATATATATTTAATTCTAATAATTCGAAATATTCGTATTGAAATGCCAAATCTTTTTAAATTCTATCTATTAAGACCAAAGTTTCTTACGAGACGTCCTTGCAAAACAAATATAAAATTTACCTTGTCACGCAAAAAAAAAAAAAAATACAACAAAAATATCGAACTCCAAGGTAAATTCAAAAAGGGAAAGTCCGTAAAAACTGACAAAATCAAACGTGGTGATGGTTTGACGTAAATACTACACGGAAGTCCTTAAGAATGAAAATATGCATTCAACTACATTCAAGGCCGTACGCTCCACAGAGAGTCATATAGTAAATAATCATGTCACTACCACAGCTCAGCTAAAGGCCTTCTCGGAACATTTGGAGATCCCCACTATGTATTGGTTACCTAAACTACACAAAAAAAAAACCCGTGAAATATCGGTTCATCTCGGCCTCTAGTAAGTGTTCTACTACTAGTCTTTCGGTGATTTTAACGAGTTCCTTAACTACTATCAAAAAACTTATCGTTGATTTTGGTAATAAAACATATGAAAACAGTGGAACTAACCATTTTTGGAGTGTAAAAAAATCTTTGGATGTTTTAGATAAATTACGTGCATTTGATGGTCCTTGTGATTCAGTTGACAGTTTTGACTTTTCCACTCTTGATACTACACTTCCACACAATCTTATCAAACAAAAGTTTTCCTATCTAATTAAATGTTCGTTTGATAAATCCGGTTGCAAATTTATTTGCTGCAAACCATATAAAGCCTTTTTCTCTAATGAGAAAGGTAAATATGCTAGCTATACTTACTGGAGGTGTGATGAGATAATTAAAGTACTAAATTTTCTCCTTCACAACATTTATGTACGTTTCGGAAATAAAGTTTATCAACAGATTGTAGGTATTCCTATGGGCACCAATTGTGCACCTTTAATAGCAGAATTGTTCCTTAACTGTTATGAATCACAGTTTATGGCCAAACTAAAAAAAGAACCGTCTAAATTCCATTTAATTGATAAATTCAACAACACTTACCGTTATCTTGATGATATTTTTTCGTTAAATAATCATGAATTCTCTAACTATACTGCTGAAAATTACCCAAAGGAACTTACTTTAAATAAATCTAATATCAACAGCAATAACTGTCTTTTCCTAGATTTAGATATTTCAGTATTACACCAGAAACTCTACACAAAAAATTACAACAAAAGGGATAATTTTTCTTTTCCTATTGTTAAAAAATCCTTTTTTGGACGGTGATATTCCTTTGGCACCGTCTTACGGTGTTTATATATCCCAACTCGTTCGCTATGCTCGTGTTTGTAGTGACGTTTTGGATTTTAATGAGCGTAAAGTATGCATCACTGGTAAATTATTAAGTCAGGGATTTCGTTACCACAAATTACTTAAAACCTTTACTAAATTTTTTCATAGATACAAAGATTTGGTCTGCAAGTTTGTCTGTATCTGTAGAAAACTTATTTCAAACGGAATAGCACATCCTAAATTTTACGGTGATGTTATACATGGAAATTTACATACGATCCGGGTAAACTTATCAATCCTTTAAATAACCTTATTCAAAAAGGTTACCTATTCAACACTGTAATTAAATCTTTGAATATTGCTTTTATTGGTGTAAATATTGACTTTGTTATCAGTAAATTAAAACCATACTTAATATTACACATATGTACTTTCACGATACTACAATCTGTCATTATAGTTTGGCAATGCACAGGGTCATGTTTTTCTCTGACTTTTAATGACGTCTTTACACTAAATCCATCGACATTTTAGTCTTAGATACATGATTTTTTTCATTAGTTGTTATTGGCTTTGAACTAGCTGTCAGAAACTGCGAATACTCTCAGATCTGTACTTAGTGTCTTTTTGTTTTTGGGATGTATAATGTTACGGCCAGAAATCACCTTTAAATTGTAGCCAACAAAAGACACAAATCAATAATAAAATTTAACAAGATTTATCATACAATTTTACACGAAATATTATACAAATTGAAATGTCAACTTAACTGTTAAAATATATGTCCGATCCTTTGTCTTTTCTTTATCCGGAATTCTTCTCTTAACTATACGGAACCCAATGTAATATATATGTCCAATAAGTTCACAATCTAGTATGATGTTGTTCGTAAATAAAAATTTGAATCCAACAACTCCAGAGATCTTCTGAGAAATCAAGTATATTAATGTCTGTCTGTCTAATTTCGGTGTCTGCATATATAGTTGTCACGGAAACTTCTAGAACACTGTAGAAGGGAAACTCCTAGAAAACTTTAGAAAGGAAACTTCTAGAGTACTATAGAAGTTTAAATTACGCATCGTAGATTATGATCATTCCGGAATTATCATGTAATTCAAATAGAAAGTTCTAATCGTTCCATCCGTATCTATGATTAATCCAGTGATTTCTAAACTGCACAATTATAACATTATTTTGTAAACAACTATAAATAGAAAACACCCATATTATATATCTTATAAGGCCACATAAAAACAAATTAGGCCAAGATTAATAAACATGATAATTACAAATATATCATAACAATAAGTACCCGTCCACGTCCACTTTGTGTTTTTGTTAGATGTATTTTTATGTATTATTAAATATTAATCAACATGCAGACATCTTATACGTTCAGATATTTCACATCCAATCTTTTATGTTAATATTCTATACAAAGCACAAACATGTCGTCGTTCACCTCTAGACTAAAGCTAACCAAACCTTTAAACAGACTTATTCAGAATGGATATAGTTACGATACTGTTGTATGATCATTAAAGATGTCATATTTTGGAATTAATATTGATTCACTTATTGGGTCATTGGATCGGAAATAAACACATTGATTCTAAAGCCAGTTGTTGGCATGATACGGATTATGTTCTTCTCATATATTTTATGATGGTATGATACAAAACCCCTAACGGGAGGGATTGTGCTTGATTTTCATATGATGAAGAAAGACATAATCTTTCAATCAGTTTAATTGAGGTCTGGAGCTGGCATGTCAGTAACTGCTAGTAGTCCTTTGTTAATTCATGTATCATTGTCATTTTGCTTAGCTTTTTCTGTTACCTATTCTGACATCGGACTCTGACTTCTTTTAAACTGAGTTTTACTGTGCGTATTGCTGTGTGTTTCTTTATTCTATAGGGGAGGGTTGAGATCTCACAAAACATGTTTAACCCCGCCGCATTTTTGCGCCTGTCCCAAGTCAAGAGCCTCTGGCCTTTGTTAGTCTTGTATTTTTTTTTTTAATTTTAGTTCATTTATATGTTTCGGAGTTTAGTTTGATGTCCATTTTCACTGAACTAGTACACATTTTTGTTTAGGGGCCAGCTGAAGCCCGCCTCCGTGTGCGGGATTTTCTCGCTGTGTTGACCCATTGGTGGTTTCCTTTAGGGCTGTTTATGATCGGGATTCCCCATTTCCATTCTCAATTTCATTTAAATTGTAATAATGTTAGTATTATCATAAGAGAGAGAGAGAGAGAGAGAGAGAGAGATTCAATGAGTTAAACCGTTAGACTCTATTTTTTCAACGGTTAGAAGTAACCAATCATAGACAGATAAGACCTCAAAAAAAAAAAAAAAAAAAAAAAGTTCACATCTCATTTTGTTCATGTTTAAGGAAACTGTTTTATTAATGATAACGTTCAAATTTCGTTTACGGAGAAGGTTTGTTAAAAAGATGATTTTTTTAATTGTATTGATACGGATAGCTATATTTTCCACTTAATATTTTCTTATTGGTTGTTTTTGAGTGGTCATCTTAAATGTTGCGTATAAAATGTCAGCATTTCTGGCCTCTAATTCCTTTTTTCCCCGATTACTTAAAATTCTGTTAATAAAAGCCCATATTAAAGTTCAAATAATTTTATTTGACTTAATGCAATTACATATATTTTATAAATGTTACATATTTGTATTGTTTATTATTTATTTGTGTTTGTATTTAGTAGCAATCCGATTGCTTGGATTTTATACTAATAAAATATCTTATCTTATCTTAATGCATATGCTGCATTGTTTACTATTTACACTTCACCTGACTGTAATTATATGATGTCAGACATGCAAAATGTGCATATGTATATTTTATATTTCATATAAGTATATAACTACATATTTCGATAAAAGCTCTATAAAACCGTTCATTGAATTTGACTGGTCCAAAAATCAAAAGTTTTTTTTTTATTGAAAAGTCGGAAGTTTCGTTCGACGTCGGGATAATCATGAATTCAGGTAACCCAGGGTCAATTAAGATGTAACTTGTCAAATACCTTGTCCTCAAAACTAGTTTTGACAACTTGTCAACCAATAAATGGAAAATACTGTATTACTCATCTATACCCGCATTTAACCAGAGGAATCAGAAATATGACGCACTTATTTTGCGTGTGTATTTCGGGAAATGACTAACAACAGAATGGAACCTATAAATGCTTGCTACACTCTTCATAGTAAAACAACAACTTTGACTTCGTATAGAAACACAAGTAAGTATTTTCGATTTTGAGGTTGCATTTATATATACAAGTTTTTCATCATTTCATTCACAAACTTGGATGAATTACAATTACGCAATTGTTTTGTTATTAGATTATAACTTGTAATGGTAACTATTATAATTACGTAAGCACTTAATTGAATCTTAATCTACGTTTTTTTTGTCGAACACAAGTGCATTTCTTCGTCACAAATATTGCTTGACAGCAATAAATTTCTAATTCGCATCGGTTTTCTATAAGGACACAACAGGCACTGAAGAAAAACGTTTCCGAAAGACCCGTACTTGATTTGTTCTTTTTTACTACAAGAATTGCGATATAATTTGAACAATATTGTTGAACATCAAACCAATAGCTGTGTACACATTTTGCTTAAATATCAATTGTTTTATATTGTAGATTCAAATTATGCAGAATTCACTACAGCTGATTTGGTTTTTATATGTATTGCTCATCATAAACATATCCATTGTTTCTTCTTATACTGGTAAAGTGGGCTATAGTAGCAGTTCTAACTACGGATCGAACTTAAATAACTATAATAGCGCATCGAACTTAAATAACTATAATAGCGGATATGGATCAAACTTAAATAGCTATAATAGCGGATATGGATCAAACTTAAATAGCTATAACAGCGGATATGGATCAAACTTAAATAACTATAATAGCGGATATGGATCAAACTTAAATAACTATAATAGCGGATATGGATCAAACTTAAATAACTATAATAGTGGATATGGATCAAACTATAATTCTGGATATGGAACAAATTACAACTCTGGATATGGTACAAATTACAACTCTGGATATGGAACTAACTACAATTCAGGATATGGAACAAATTACAATCAAGGATATCCTACAAATTATAGATATACGAAAGGTTACGGAAGCGGATATGGTTCTAATTATGCGAAGAACTTCTACAACACATTTCCATTCTTCTTTATGAACCCATTCGGTTCCGGTTACAATGGATTTCAATCAGGATTTCCATGGTCTCCTTTTAGTTCATTTCCATGGTCGTATGGTCAGCGCTCGGGATTTAATCCATACGGACATAATATGTATGGAGTTCACCCATTGTTTCGATATACTGGTAATTATGGTGTGTACCAAAATTATGGTTATGGAAACAAACATTTTCCCCATAGGAATCACATGATGTTACCCGTACCAGTAGGAATGCCATTTGGAGGCCATTCCGATCAATTTATTTTTCATCACAGACCTTCACTTGGTGAAAGAATTATGAACAGTCCATTTTGTAAGTAAATGTACCTAACCTATGGCCCCAAAATAGTCTATATTAATTATTCTTTCTTTCTTACTTTAAACGATTTATAATGGTTTTGATGCATATTATTTGAATACCTCTCTCTCTCTCTATATATATAAACATATATAAGATTGGTCCAATAATACTTGTTTTGTTTGTCCAACACTTTTTTAATAAATAATTTCCTTACCCTCTCCTCGGTATCGTCTGCCGCAGGCCTAACTATCGTTGTACTTTTTGTACAGCTGGTTCCCAATGTTAGTCAATGTTTTGGGCACTTCCTATTTGTTATATTATATACAGTTGATACCGGGGTAAATTTCTCACAAGGAAAGATGTCCTTGCACATTTTAACTATTCTTGTTATGATTCCTTGTATTATATTTGTTTTCGTGTATTTTTTTTCCCCATCAAAGTCGTTCGTTATTGAAACTATTCTAGAAAAGCGCTGTGACTGCTTCACTTTATTAAGTCATTTCTTGAAGACTGTTTGTCCCAATGTTTAAATTTCTCGATACCATCATTAATAGACTGTTGGTTCCATAGGTTTTCCCGGTCGATACGACCTCTTCATTTTTTTCGGGGGAAAATTCTAGCTTCTTAATTAGGCAAAAACATTTGTATTAAGCCTCCAAAAAAGTAGTGATAAATAGCCTGTTTTGTTTATTAAACAATAAATGCTATCTCTCGACAAAGAGCACATATCTTTACTTACTTTTGTTACGTACAATAAAACATAAATGATAAAATTTTATGTTCTGAATCTTATTTTAACAGTGCCTGCAGCCCTAATAGCAGTTCCTCTTTTGTTGCTTGCCAAAGGAAAAAAATAAAGAAAAGGTGAGTACTGAATAAAGATGAAAATAATGATAATTTAAAGTATTGATAATGAAATAAATAAATAAAATGAACAGTACATTTGTAAATATTTCTAGATTTATTCATTTTAAGTATTGCAAATTAAAAAAAAGTTATGTAATTTTGACTATTTATTTAGTGATTGATGCTTGTCAATTTGCGAAATATGATATTGACATTAGAGACTTTGGTTTGATTTGTTTAATTTAATCACTATTATTTCTAGGATCGATATAGAGTTTTCTGTATATTTTTAACAGAAGTAGAATTTTTTTATGCATTAGTAAATTCTTTGGCGTTCACATTAAGTATAAATCAAATGAGATGTGGGCTATACGTCAATGAGACATCAACCCAACGATGAAAATAACAAAAAGACATGTACAGATGGCAACATACAGTCCTCAACAATAGACAGGTATCAATACAATATGTCAAGCTCAAAAAGTCTATAAAAATGTGAATAATTTACACAGAAACAATCAAAGATCTGCCATCAACACCAAATTCTTCAAATAAAAAAACAACATTAAGATATGACATAATGCTACCACTGACGAGCTTCCTAACTTGAGACAGGCACATGGATATAATTTTTTTTAGATTTAACACTCCACTCAATTTCGCCAAGAACTAACACTAAGGCATATTTATTGAACTATCATTTGACTCATTACATTTTAAACCCACACTGTTTTTGAAAAATTAAACCTCATCCATTATCTTATCTTTCAGGTTATAAACAGCATTACCAAAGCCAAGATGTCTCCAAATGACTCCTGCTAGAATTGCAGTCTCCAAATGACCCCTGCTAGATTTGCAGTATCCAAATAACCCTCACTAGATTCGCAGTGTTTAAAACGAACATGTATCATTTATATAAGAATTTCTGTTATTACAATGTATTTATATCGTTTTAATTTATATAGTCTTTTTGAAAGGTGCAATAAAATGTTGTCGTATAAGTAGTCTAATACTCTAATCAATTGTTATGAATGTTTTGTACAGAAATAAAGTTTTTTAGATAAAGGTCTTTTATATTTTAAATGAAGAAATGGCACTATTTATTTACTTTTCCATAGAAAAACGAGGAAGATAAATGATCATTAGGGAAAGGACGACTTTCAATTTGGTTTGATTTGCTTGTTTCGATATCTGTCATTTTCGTTCAGCAAAAAAAAAAAAAAAAAAAAGAGTGAACCAAAATACAAAATTGTAGAACTCCAATGAAAAAGGACTAACGCTGTCACGTTCCAAGTATATTGGCGGTGCCAAAAGTCTTACACGATATATTTAGTTTTAAGATATTTCAGAATAGTTTATGAATACAGGGAGATGTAAGGTATACATCAATGAGACATAACGACATTACAAACCATATATACTTAAAACCATTTCTGTTTTGGGTTTTCGTATGTGCCTCAACGAAATAATCAATGGAGGAATGTGATGTATGATGTTTATACTCATGTAATTTAATAATGTCTTGAATAGAAAGATAACTTCTACATTTACAGTTTTAAAGATATTCTTTAAAGTTTGGAGAACCAGGGTATATATAAATAAGAAGATGTGGTATGAGTGCCAATGAGACAACTATCCATCCAAGTCACAATGTGTAAAAAGTAAACAATTATAGGTCAAAGTACGGCCTTCAACACGGAGCCTTGGCTCACACCGAACAGCAAGCTATAAAGGGCCCCAAAATACTAGTGTATAACAATTTAAACAGGAAAACCAACGGTCTAATCTATATAAAAAAACGAGAATCAAGAAACACTTATGAACCACACCAACAAACGACAACCACTGAACAACAGGCACCTGGTAGTTAAGTGAAAAAAACATTTCTTGCAAAAATTTAAGATTGTGGTGTAGGTACGAATAATTGGTTACGAAGTCCGTTTGACGTGTTTGGACGATAAAAAATATTTTGGTAAGGGTCTAACGTTTAAACATTTAACTTTAATATCTATATCTATAACTGAGGAATTTACGAACGATTGACACGAAAATAATTGTTTTGCATTTCTATTTCAAGTCCAACTAAATTGAAAAGTGTGTCGTCGCTCCCTTTGATCACCAAAAAAAAAAATAGATACATGAAAAATATGTTTTTCACGATATATATTAATATTTAGTATAAAATCGTCCAAGTTTTGTTTCGCCTCGCTTCGATCTTCAATTTTCGGCAATTACGCCACTTTCAGTAGATTATATAATGCTTTTAGAGTTTGGTATAATATCGTGTAGACGTATCATTACAGCTTTTTTTGTTACCATTGGCTGTTCCCTTGTATTGACAAAGCTGAAGAGCATAAAATATATTTTCTGATAATAACATAATTTCTTTTCCAGAGCAATATATCATATTGCACGAGCTTCCGACTGCAATTTGATATAATTCTAGAGACAATATTCCCTACGCACATTAACCCTTTTATAATAACTATACACGTAGTACCAAATACTTCAGCCACATTGATGATACTTCGTCCAATTTGTGCAGTACGGACGCAATTCCGTCAGCTTGTTTTTCATTCTTTTGCTTGCGTGTTATAGATCCGAGACCACAGACACAGTGTTGTCCTTTGAAATGTAGTACCTAGCGTGGGCAGTGTATTACTTGCCACTTTTCATACAACTTCCAATTTATTTCTTCATGTTTTATGCATAAAATACCAAGAATGGGTCGAAATTACGCTGTAAAAAACTTTGGGTCGTGAATTTCAAGGTAAAGTAGTTATTTGAATTGAATGTTTCATATTTTTCATGTCGGGGCCTTTTAAAACCGAATATATACGGTATGGGTTTTTCTCATTGTTGAAGCCCGTACGGTTGTCTATAATTGCTTACATCCACTTCATTTGAACTTTGGTGGATAGTTGTCTCGTAGGCAATCATACCACATCTCCTTATTTTCATATTTGGTCCAGTTGGAAATGGTATAAAGGGAGTACGTCTGAAGCTTTCAAAACGAATTAAATACCACGTTAACATTGAATTGTCCATATTTTGTGTTAGAGTCGATGAATTTTCAATTATTTCGATATTATTTGTCATAGAAGTAAAGCCTCATTTTGTTTGAAATAAATTTTGTAAAATTGTACATATAAGTTAAAGTCATTCATAAAGATTTCACCGAATCTGTAGTAATGACGAATGATTATAACTAAAAAAAAAAACACAAATTTTAATTTAATGGAAAATTCTACAGTTTCACATTAGGCCTCATTTTATTCGAAAAAAATGTATTTTCAGACAAAAGCTCAAATAAATTTGACTTTGAAATATTTCACGGTACTATTTCTGTTGCACCAAATGAGTATTTTGTTGCTTTAATAAAATGACACATGACATTTTAGAAACTCTTTTATCATTATCTATTTGTATATTGTTCTATCTAAACGTCAAATTGAACACACTAATGTAAAATATAAAAATGGCAACAATGACGTTAAACTATATCATATTGTTGCTGCTCGGAACTTCTGAACTGCGTAACAAACTTTAAAGAGAAAGTATTTAATGTGATATCAATCAAGGTACAATATTTTTTAACTCATTCCATAAAAAATCTAAATTCTAACTATGTGTAAGAATTTCATCATTTGTCAAAGATGCAACCAATCAAAACGCATGAGCTATAGTTGCTTAAATCAACTTCATTTGGTATATGTTGGGTAGTTATCTCATTGACAATCATACCCCAACTCCTTATTATTCAATGACTATGATATCTTCTGTGGTAGTTCAGATAATTACTTGAAAAAACACGAACCCAGCTGAACACTTTACCTACTGATTGATTGATTGTTAATTGTTAAACGTCCAGCGGGAATCATTTCATGCATATTCAGGATGATTTTACCTAATGTGTTGTAGTACTATTTTATTGTAAGGCGTACAACAAATCTCGATCAAGTGCGAAGAACTTATTAGATTATTATAATTTATCTCGAGATGTTCACAAAAGTTCTTGCAAAACTTTGTTAAGATATAATGTTTCCTCTTCGCAAAAGATACTAAGAAGGAAACAAGTTTAAACCTTGTTTCAAAACTAAATTCCAATTGTACAACAGAAAGGGTTGATAATTAACTGGATTTATGAATTAGATTTATTATTCGCGGGTTAACGGTACACTGACTTGTATATGAATGTTCGAACGTACGTCTTCCTTCTGTTGGGTGACAAGTCAGTGTGCTTTTGAACTATAACGTACCAATCTATAAACTTAATGATTCACCCGGTCGTAGACTCCGAAAAGTGGTTCAGTTTATCATTTTCATGATATTTAAAAAATGAAGCTAATAAAACAATTCTCAATTTTTGGTCAAAACGATCAAAAATGTTTGCAAAACTATCATTTGACATTTTTTAGTGAAATGGAAGTAATCATATATGATCACATTATATTTATATGCATTTATATACATCTGTTTACTAATGATTATAATAATCACAAATAAAAGAGTTTACAGAAGGTTAATTCCCGACTTGTTTTGTATATTCTGAGCTATACATCATGATCTCACTCCTATGTGACTCATGTTTAATACAGATTTGTAAATTTATCAAGACTTCCTGTTCACTGAAGCTGCAAGTACATGCTGTATTTAAGAGCAAAGGAAAGCTTTGGAAAATATACTCCTTAACCGTAAAGCTTGTCTCATAAGTTGATGAGATAATATAACTATAATCCTCTTTGAAAGCGAAACTAACATGTCGGTCTCTGGTAGATGAATAGTGGTCTCATTGGTAATCCTAGTATATCTCCTTATTTTTACTGTGACAAACAAATCAGAAAATGAATGGAGTTAAATTGACATAAAGTAATATAACATGAAAATCAAATACAATAAATAAACCAAGCATTGATAATATTATATTAAGAGGTCTTATTGCTTCCGTATTCTATACATTCGTTTTTGATTTTTATTGAGTATTTCCTATAAGCATAATATTAAGGATTAACAAAATAAACATATAATTAACTACAACGTGAACATAAGAAGATGTGGTATTATTGCCACACCAGAGACCAAATGACGTAGAAAGTGTTATACCATCAAAACATAGTACGTCACATCCGGTTTAATATGAAAAAGGGTAAAAAAAAAACCAATTCCCTTGAATGTTGACAGTTGTAGGAAATTAACCCTGCATTTCATTCCAGAAAAAAATATATCTTGGGTGTTTCAAAGTACAATTCTTTTTCTATTCTGTGTTTATATACAACATTTTGGAAACTTGAGATGACATGGTGACTAAAGCTTGTAAACAGGGAAAAAATGAAACTTTGATGGTTAACTTCCGGTGATGTTTATTATCTTATATGCGAAAAAATGTTATGTGAAATTTTGTCTGTAGTACTGGACAGGATAACAATATACTCATGCCAAGTATTTCTTTACTTGAAACAAAGACAAATTCTTCACATTTTTTTTGTTGAAAAATGTCAATTTAACAAAGACTGATAGGGGAAATGCAATGGTGGTATTGCTCCAGAAATTAGCAACTGTAGATATCTGTACGGCCTTCAACAATGATTAAAACCTATACCGCATAGTATAAAATTTAGTGTAAACACATGTTATTAAAGAATTTGTCATGTAGAGCTACAAGAGAAAATAAATACGAAATATACGAGTGATTCAAATATTTGGATAAGGAAACGAGAGCAGTGCTCTTATATAAATCCGTCTCCCTAACGATTTAACATGACCTGAGTGACAAATTTAAAACAATAAAGACTTCTTAAAAAATGGTATTTGTTCCAGATGTACTTGTCTGTATTACCTAAATATTCAAAAGGGAATAACTGTCGTATACCTCTAAAATCATTTCTTTGTACTTTTTCTGTAGAAACCTTGATTAATATTGATTTTATCTACCTTTGCGCAATGTGTCAAACTGATAAATAGTTCAAGGCTGAATTATATACTTCATGTCTGTATAATTAACAAGGGTAACACACGATCAGACACTATGAAGTTTTGGTTCCAAATGTATGTGGTATCAGTTGCAAGCACTGCATTTCTATATTTAGATTCTTGCCTGGTAACGTTTTTGGAATTTGTCCTTTGATCGAAACAGGCATTTGTTAATTTGTTGAATCATAAAATGTATTGAATGTGTCCTAGTCCGAGAGAACGCAAATAAGGGATTAGTTATTATACATTACAAAATTCAAAGTCGTTTATTTCATCTTTGACATTACAGTATAAAGTCGCAAAGGGCTAAATATAAATAAGACATGAATTGACGTCATCACCATCTCATCAGACATTAAGATAATACTATATATGATAGGGTATTCTCTTTAAAAAAATATTTTCTATAATGACAATATATTCTATATATTACAATGAAATTGAGTACAAAATAGTGAAATTAGATATAAAACATATACCGCATCTGTAATTTTTTCAATCTTTTTTCTTTATATATATTATTATGGTTATTATTTTATCAACCTTCATCAGGAACGATCAAAGCCATATACTAAAGATCTTTCGACGTATTTCAAAACACACATGGAATATGAAACCAACACCAGGGGAAGCCTAAGAGAGTATTCAAACCGTCCGAAGTCGACTTTTATTAAAGAAAGTGGAAAATTTGCCTTAATACAAACCACACCCAACACAGTAAGACGATAAAAAGGTGGCAATAAAAAATCCACATGCCATGCCAAAAAAAAAGCAAACAGAAAAGATATATACGCATTGTCAATCACAAATTATACCACTGTGACATCTCATTTTCTATGTCAATAGGGATACTGTAAGCGGCATACACACATACGGGGAGGGATTATATATGGAAATACTGGTGTAATTGGCTCCGCTTCATGTCCATGTGCCTGTCCATAGTTAGGAACCTCAGTGTTTTTTTTGTGTCACATATAAACCAACAACGCGTGTTTGTCTGATAATCACGAAACTAATACTTATTTTTGGTATTTTTTTACTTCATGTAACAATAAAAAAACATACATTTGTCACATACGATGTTTCTATATGTTTTTCGTTTAAAAATCTCCTATAAAAAAAAATATCATGCGGTCACTTATTGTCGGATTTTTACTATTTGGGTACAACTTGGCAGAATTTTCATATGATTATTTGTCTATTTAGTCATAACAATTGTTGTGAAGCGTTTTTATAATATATTCCCAAGCATGTTTGTTTGAAGTCGTTCAACACAAAATATTTTACCAGATCGAAAGTAAACAGAAAGATATATCAATTCATACGATTATCACATGTATAAGGTTTTATGCATACTGTAAAATATCAGCTGCGAGTCACAAAAAAAAAAGCTTTTTTGTTGATTTAGATTTCGAAAATAATGAAATGTGATAATCGATTTATCTGATTGTATTTTTTTTTTTGGGTGATTGGAAACACTTCATTTTCCACATGGTCCAAGTGATTAAGTCTGCGTCAAGCATATTTGACGTCGAAAATTAAAGCCCTGATAAGCAGAGCTGTGCAGGAATAACCAGACACAGAGATAAAACATGTTATTGCCCTATATCTGCAAGCCGTATTTGCCACTGAACGTGAATTAACTAGTCGTCCTTGTGATTTATTACTTTACACTTGAATATTTTACCAAGTCTTACCTGCTTATTAATACGGTTAAATAATCTAACACTTACTACAATAATAATTTCTATTAAAACTTGCAATATGGAATCAATGAAAGAAAACATTCGAAATGAAATTAACGTGTTACTGCTATGGACTCCTATGAAATAGATCCTATGAATTGAACGCTGTGAAAAGTTCAAACCATCAAACTGATGACGCCATATATAAAAAAAATCCAAAATATTAAAAGAACTTATATCGGAAATTGATGAGTCAAATTAGGAAATAAATCATGTACACGATTGTACCCAGAATAACCACAAATATATCCGTCGTAATTCTTATATAAACGTGAATAACCGTGTACGATCATTACAACTACACTAGTGTACTACAAGGAAAACATCCACAAATGTAAGTTAAAAACTAAATTAATATCAGAATAAGATATTCGTATATTTCAATTGAAATGAAACGGGAACAATTATCTAGACAGCAATCGATTTAAGAATGATTTTTTCCCAGTTTACCTCTCATTATTGCTAGGTAGGAAACTATACACCAACAATGTTCTTTTTCTGAGATAAAGAGACAAGAAATGCGAAACTGATTATATTGATTTCGTAATAAACATTTTTTTGTGAAAATGGCGAAAACAAAAATCGAGTGAAAAGGGTAACAAAAACATTAAAAATGGAGACAACCTCCACCAAACACACATACACTTGGATAATATAGTATTTTCAATCACCTGTTTTAAACCATAAGCCAGCATATCATTTCAGAATGCAACAACATTACGCTATAATGCATATCCAATAGCTTGATCTAATGACACCATACTCCTATAACAAATACCCCAATTGCACAAGATATTCAAGCTTTTCTGTGACATGTCGCATTTTTTACTAAGAAAATAAAGCTTAATCAGTTATTTATTTTTGTATTTCAGATGACAAACTTTTTGAACAGTAATACCTTATTTTTCACTATTGTTGCCCTTTGTACAAGCCATGTACATGGGTACAACTTACCATATTCGTCATATTATCCCGTACAACACGATTCTTCTTCAACAGGAGTATTTGATGTCTTTGGACAACTAGCTGGAGTATTCCGTAAGTAAAATATAGATTCCACCACTGCATCAAGTGTGTTACGATATTTCTCCACTCGAGACAGTTAAGTTTTAATATTTGAAGTGCGAGGCTTGACGAGCTTTTTAAATTATTAAAGTTTAACTGTTGAGAGTGGAGAAATATCGTAATACACGAGTGATAGCAGTGATATCTGTTTCTCTAAAGATTTTTAGACGATATCTTAACAACGTTTATCCTTCCTTTTAAAAGATTTGCAGAAAGTTCATTCGTCACAACTCGGCCGATTCAGTACCTTCATCTAAGGAGAGAAAGAGAGTAGCGGATTCACCCGAGGATTGCCGATTGGCAGAAAGTTGTGTTCTTTATATGTGACGTCATCATGCATGGTCGCCCTTTTTCATGACGTCACAAGAAATTCAAAAGAAACCAAGAAAATTTGACGTCATAATTAAATTTCGGCCAATCATTTGCCGAGAACAATGTTTTCTCTGGAGATGAGAAATATTTTTCTCACACCGATCGAGAATGTGAAAAAGAGTGAAAATTAGATAAATATCCTTTATCGCATAGTATTCGTGTAAAAGCGTATACATATATAGAAAAGAAACATGCGAAATCTGTAAAAGCAACAGATACGCTCAAAATCAAAATTTTGTGAAGCCCTAAATTAAAAAGAAAAAAAAAACTTTTGAAAGTATTAAAACCGATAGATTTAGAGAAGACGAGTCAAAAATGTATTTGGTCAATTTTGTTGGAGGGAGCTACTGTCTGAGTTTAAATCATTTCAAGCAATTAATTTCATTGACTTTCGAAACAGCTGAAAGGAAATCATTCTGGCCTTAATACATCTATTATGTAAAAGAAATCTGTAAGACTAATTGACAATTTATTGTTGTTGATTGTCCAGTGACACTTGCATAAACGCCCAAATGAAACTATTGTAAAGGTCTATCTAAGAACATATTTTAATTCTGCATTAATATATTGTTCCACTGTTATATGCACTTTTCAAATTATGAAATGATTCGCAATTTTAAAATATCCTTACGTTAAGATCATCGCCTTCTAGTGTTTTCATAAAACCTTTCATTAGCATTGGAAAGTTGAATATATTAAAATGACTTTAAAAACACAATATATCAGGAAAGTTTTATGCATCATTTTAAAATTGATTTAAATGTAAAAATGATTTAATTTCTGTTATTGAGGGATTTTTCTATATATCCGACTTGTACAATTTCATTTTTCCTTTAAATACATCAACGTTATAACGTGACGATGATTATTGCGACCAGCATGAATCTTCCACACTATTCTGCACAACGTGCAACATTCACCGTATTTGATTGTAGTTCGTTGACATGTTTGAAACCATACACATGAGGCCAACATTGAATGATCTTATATTGATCTTTTACAGTGATATACGTTTTGCTGTCAGCAGTTCTGAAGAATTTTGGAAGTAAAACTACAAAATAGTACACCTGGCAGGTAATATATACATTTATCATATTTTTACACATTTAATTATAAATATTATTCAATAACAAACTTTTTTTCAAATATTACAAAACCTTTGAGTCATAATATGCCGTTTTAACAGGGATTTCTTGAAGTAAGCATAGTTTACATAAATATGAGTTACTACTCAGTAAATATATCATCATTAGAAATAATTTGGTTCCATATAGGATTCAGAATGGCTTTACATTATTTAAAACAATGTTCACGTTGGTACTGCCTAGATGGGTATCAAAGCAAATGTATCACCAGTAGAAATCTAATCTAGGAAAAGCATCAAACAATACGAACTCGAGAGAACTGGAAAAAAAAAGAGACAGAGCAGCACACAAACAGGCGTTCACACATATAAATAACAGAAAACTTTGAAACATATACACACTGTCGTTATACCAAGGAGTGATGTCGTGTCCCTCAGAATAAAGTATAATTTATGTTTCATCCAGCAAACGTCGGGTTATAAGTTATAAAAGCCTTCAATCTATACGTTATACCGGGTAACAAGTCATATCTGATGTGGAGGGGACACATTGGGTTGATATGTCTCAATTTGTTTTCCAACGATTCACAGTGTTGTGTAATTGCATGTTATAATTATATTAATTATATTGAGGATAAAACGTGGTAGTCAACTCGTGATGGCACCCATAACACTTTCTAAAAAGTGGAAACTTAGTATTAATGCAACTTGATTGAGTAGGTTCGGTGGTAGTAAATTCGTTGTCAGTAAAATCAGTGTATTCCAAACAAACTTTTGAGGGACTAATACACTGTAAAGCGTAAACGTCTTTAAACTGACACACATGCACTAGTGTTGTTCTGCAAGATATAGGAATGTGGCGTTTCCTCTCTTATACTTATACTTCACACTTACATTATAAAGTCATAACATTTCCTTTGAAGGCATATTCTTTGATTTTCGCCAAAAAAGGGATAGAAAATGTATCTAAGAATTAAGGTTAAGAAAATACGGTGCTTAAGTTTCAATTTAATGTTTATAATAATTATTCACAATGAAGTATATATTCTTACAGGTTTTGTACCAGCGATTTGAAACACCAAAGAAACTTCGCTCCACACGTCTTTCAGAATGTTTATTAAATGTTTAAATAAATGTTGTTTTAGTATGACGATAATATCCCGATTTAATAAAATACCATAATAAAAAGAATAATGTGATATGACGCGATTGCAAATGAGACAGCAATTTCCAAAAGACCAAAGGACAAGCATACAAACAACTTCAAGTCAGCGTAAGACCTACAGCAATGAACAAAACCCATACGTACAACAAGCTACAATTTCAAGACCCTGCAATAACAAAGTGTGAAACAATTCAAAAGAGAAAACCAACAGCCTGATTAAATCTAATAACACTAAACGGAAAACAATAAAGGTTAACCAAAAAATATGATGGACACCAACCATAGAGTGTCCATTTTTAGATTTTACGAATCGTCAAATGTTAAAGTCCCCGTCCTTAGTCAGGTATGTCTTTAAGGGTTGTCTGTTTCTTTATATCGATATATAAGAAGTTATTTATTTATGACAGCTCTTCCATAGTCTGTTGCCGAAATTGCATATTTCCTTTTGAAGTTCATATCCTTTTTATATTTTGACTCTTAACAAATATACCTTCTATCGGCTTTGAACACTGAACAACTTAACAAATTATTTTATAGATATGTTTCAGTGTGTTAAAGACTTGTTATATGGTATGGATGCTAAACTGTCTCTTATAATCATAATATAACCTCAATTATGTATTGGCTTTAGTGGGTTGCTTCCTTATAAAAATGTACCCAAATGGCCTTTTGTTAATAGATGATCATAAGGTCAATGACAATACAAAATTAATGAAAAAACAGCTGTGAAGTTATATAAACGAATTGATGCATCATATGTCTCTGGTTGAAATCAGTGGTATCGCAGATAATTTTATTTAGTAATGTGGAAGTTGTTCGATTTGACTATACAATGAATCGCCAAACCCTGTTCCGATAACATCACGCTCAGTCCGTAAAACGTAATAAGCTGCTAACAATTGCTCATGTACTGCACATGCCAAAAACTTCTTGAGTGAATCAATGGCGGCCTGAGAAGGTGGAACTGATGAAAAATCACCGATAAAAGCAATTCCTAAAAATAAATGGCGCATATATTATGAGTATTTTGAATTTATACTCTTCATCATTGTTACAACATGAGGACATGACAACCAATCAGATTGAAATACAGATCACGTGTCCATACTATACTTATTAGGATATTACAATGCTCCATTTTATTTTCTGTTGTAAAGACCTTTTCCGATTCTCGATCTAGTTTGTCGTAATAAAAGACACCTTCAAAAACTTCATTTACTGATGTAATAGTTACCAGAACAGAATGTAGAACGGACCATTGTCAGATCCTTGTAACCAAAACATGTACACATTATCTGTATTCTAACCATGTTGTTTGACAACTTGTATAACTATTTGGTGAGAGAAATAACAAAAAAACATCATGCTGTCGCACCTGATATATATATGTATATTTTTAACTTGATCCATTAATATCTAACAAAAGAAAAGCCATGTAGAACTTGAAGTATACAAACAGCTCTGGTTTTCAAATTGTTGGTTTGAACGTTCCAAATGAAGGTATGTCTGGTATAGTGCTTCGGACGTACTGATTATCACTGGGTCGCTACAGCTTCTAGTGGACTGTTAGTCTCCGAAGTGTAACGACTGACATGATTTTATAACATGCATTTCTTAAAATTATCCGATGGTATAATTAGATATTATTAAGAAACTAAGTCCTAGCCTGACCTTCGATAGTTTCGGCTTTTCTTGTTAAGCTCCTTTTGCGCCTCAAGTGTTTAAACATCACTGGTTTTCAAATATTTGGCTTAAAGTGATCCTAATGAAGATAAAATCAGAAAAGTTGACTGCTCTTTTACACTGCATGGAAGCTACATTGTTTCGCAAACTGGCATCGTCGGATAAACATTTAAAGTATCACAATCTGAATCAGTTGAATGACAAATGAAAATAATCTGAAGTCAGTACAAAATAAACAAAAAAAAAAACAAAGTTGTAAGGCCTAATTGTGAACCTGTATAACATGGAACTTATTATCTAAGGGAAATAAGTTCGAGGCTGATGGCCGTATATTTAGTTGAGTTGTCTATTTTCCCCCGAGGATTTCAACATAAACATCTGTATCTTCACATGATGTCTATGTCAATTATGTGTATGATATACATACCTAATGATATGTTGTCAAACGATATACATACCTAATGATATGTTGTCAAACGATATACATACCTAATGATATGTTGTTAAACGATATACATACCAAATGATATGTTGTTAAACGATATACATACCTAATGATATGTTGTTAAACGATATACATACCAAATGATATGTTGTCAAACGATATACATACCTAATGATATATTGTTAAACGATATACATACCTATTAATATGTTGTCAAACGATATACACACCTAATGATATGTTGTTAAACGATATACATACCTATTAATATGTTGTCAAACGATATACATACCTAATGATATGTTGTCAAACGATATACATACCTATTAATATGTTGTCAAACGATATACATACCTAATGATATGTTGTTAAACGATATACATACCTATTAATATGTTGTCAAACGATATACATACCTAATGATATGTTGTTAAACGATATACATACCTATTAATATGTTGTTAAACGATATACATACCTATTAATATGTTGTCAAACGATATACATACCTAATGATATTTGTTAAACGATATACATACCTATTAATATGTTGTCAAACGATATACATACCTAATGATATGTTGTCAAACGATATACATACCTATTAATATGTTGTCAACGATATACATACCTAATGATATGTTGTCAAACGATATACATACCTATTAATATGTTGTCAAACGATATACATACCTAATGATATGTTGTTAAACGATATACATACCTAATGATATGTTGTCAAACGATATACATACCTAATGATATGTTGTTAAACGATATACATACCTATTAATATGTTGTTAAACGATATACATACCTAATGATATGTTGTTAAACGATATACATACCTATTAATATGTTGTCAAACGATATACATACCTAATGATATGTTGTTAAACGATATACATACCTATTAATATGTTGTCAAACGATATACATACCTAATGATATGTTGTCAAACGATATACATACCTATTAATATGTTGTCAAACGATATACATACCTAATGATATGTTGTTAAACGATATACATACCTAATGATATGTTGTTAAACGATATACATACTTATTAATATGTTGTCAAACGATATACATACATAATGATATGTTGTTAAACGATATACATACCTATTAATATGTTGTCAAACGATATACATACCTAATGATATGTTGTCAAACGATATACATACCTATTAATATGTTGTCAAACGATATACATACCTAATGACATGTTGTCAAACGATATACATACCTAATGATATGTTGTCAAACGATATACATACCTATTAATATGTTGTCAAACGATATACATACCTAATGATATGTTGATAAACGATATACATACCTAATGATATGTTGTTAAACGATATACATACCTATTAATATGTTGTCAAACGATATACATACCTATTAATATGTTGTCAAACGATATACATACCTATTAATATGTTGTTAAACGATATAAATACCTAATGATATGTTGTTAAACGATATACATACCTAATGATATGTTGTTAAACGATATACATACCTATTAATATGTTGTCAAACGATATACATACCTAATGATATGTTGTTAAACGATATACATACCTAATGATATGTTGTTAAACGATATACATACCTACTAATATGTTGTCAAACGATATACATACCTAATGATATGTTGTTAAACGATATACATACCTAATGATATGTTGTTAAACGATATACATACCTAATGATATGTTGTTAAACGATATACATACCTATTAATATGTTGTCAAACGATATACATACCTAATGATATGTTGTCAAACGATATACATACCTATTAATATGTTGTCAAACGATATACATACCTAATGATATGTTGTTAAACGATATACATACCTATTAATATGTTGTCAAACGATATACATACTTAATGATATGTTGTTAAACGATATACATACCTATTAATATGTTGTCAAACGATATACATACCTAATGATATGTTGTCAAACGATATACATACCTATTAATATTTTGTCAAACGATATACATACCTAATGATATGTTGTTAAACGATATACATACCTAATGATATGTTGTTAAACGATATACATACCTATTCATATGTTGTCAAACGATATACATACCTAATGATATGTTGTTAAACGATATACATACCTATTAATATGTTGTCAAACGATATACATACCTAATGATATGTTGTCAAACGATATACATACCTATTAATATGTTGTCAAACGATATACATACCTAATGATATGTTGTCAAACGATATACATACCTTTTAATATGTTGTCAAACGATATACATACCCAATGATATGTTGTTAAACGATATACATACCTAATGATATGTTGTTAAACGATATACATACCTATTAATATGTTGTCAAACGATATACATACCTAATGATATGTTGTTAAACGATATACATACCTAATGATATGTTGTTAAACGATATAAATACCTATTAATATGTTGTCAAACGATATACATACCAATTAATATGTTGTCAAACGATATACATACCTATTAATATGTTGTTAAACGATATACATACCTAATGATATGTTGTTAAACGATATACATACCTAATGATATGTTGTTAAACGATATACATACCTATTAATATGTTGTCAAACGATATACATACCTAATGATATGTTGTTAAACGATATACATACCTAATGATATGTTGTTAAACGATATACATACCTATTAATATGTTGTCAAACGATATACATACCTATTAATATGTTGTCAAACGATATACATACCTATTAATATGTTGTTAAACGATATACATACCTATCAATATGTTGTCAAACGATATACATACCTAATGATATGTTGTTAAACGATATACATACCTAATGATATGTTGTTAAACGATATACATACCTATTAATATGTTGTCAAACGATATACATACCTATTAATATGTTGTCAAACGATATACATACCTAATGATATGTTGTTAAACGATATACATACCTAATGATATGTTGTTAAACGATATACATACCTATTAATATGTTGTTAAACGATATACATACCTAATGATATGTTGTCAAACAATATACATATCTATTAATATGTTGTCAAACGATATACATACCTATTAATATGTTGTCAAACGATATACATACCTATTAATATGTTGTCAAACGATATACATACCTATTAATATGTTGTTAAACGATATACATACCTATCAATATGTTGTCAAACGATATACATACCTAATGATATGTTGTTAAACGATATACATACCTAATGATATGTTGTTAAACGATATACATACCTATTAATATGTTGTCAAACGATATACATACCTATTAATATGTTGTCAAACGATATACATACCTAATGATATGTTGTTAAACGATATACATACCTAATGATATGTTGTTAAACGATATACATACCTATTAATATGTTGTTAAACGATATACATACCTAATGATATGTTGTCAAACGATATACATATCTATTAATATGTTGTCAAACGATATACATACCTAATGATATGTTATTAAACGATATACATACCTAATGATATGTTGTCAAACGATATACATACCTAATGATATGTTGTTAAACGATATACATACCTAATGATATGTTATTAAACGATATACATACCTACTAATATGTTGTCAAACGATATACATACCTAATGATATGTTGTTAAACGATATACATACCTATTAATATGTTGTCAAACGATATACATACCTATTAATATGTTGTCAAACGATATACATACCTATTAATATGTTGTTAAACGATATACATACCTATCAATATGTTGTCAAACGATATACATACCTAATGATATGTTGTTAAACGATATACATACCTAATGATATG